GGCCTCAGGAGCCTGTGGTCAGGAGATATGACAGCACTGAAGCTATGGACCTGCCAGGGAGGCCACTAATGCCAGCTGCTTCTGAATGCCAGGGCAGGACAAGACAGAACAGGATGGACAAAAGACTCCCTGTGACTTCTGCCCTGCCAGGCACTGAGGAAGAAGCAGTCACAGCTCCATGGGGCTGGTTGTGTTTTGCAGAAGTGCTCCAACTGAAGACCACATCCACTTCCCTGTAGCTGCACCCCACACTGTGGTTCAGTGGCAACAGGGTCACACAGGCCACAGACCCTAGGGCTGGAAGAGATCTGAAGCCGCGAGTCCAAAAGAATCCTGGACCTCTTTGCTTTGGTCCAAATAAGTGAAGATCAGAGAGGTCAAGTGACTGGGCCACTGCACAGCTATGGCAGCCCTATCCCTTCCTGAGACCTGCAGTCTCAGTCAAGTTCTGCTGGGTCTTGGCTCACTCTACATCCACAGCTTGGTAGTCATCAGTTACCTGCCACTTTTAATTAGAGATGTCACCAGTGGCAGCTTTATTACTTGGCTCTTCTCCTGTTCATTAATTTGTCAAGCTCTCCAGCCCACTGCCCCCTGACCCTGTCCTCTCAAGTAAAAGATCTGGGTTCACCTATGTAATGTCTGAATATGACAGTCTCCAAAATTTCATGGGCTGAAGGCATGGTCCCTAGCTAGTGGCACTTCTGCAAGGTGATTGGCTCAAGAGGGCACTACCTTTCATCAATGGGTTAATCCAGTGATAAGTTCAGAGCTGAATGAAGTAGGTGACAGGGGCACCCTCTGAAGGATGAATCTTGTCGCCAGACACTTTCTCTTTCACTCTGCTTCCTGGCTGCTATGAGGTGAGCAGCCTCTCCCACCACATTCTCCCAAACCACGATCTTCTGCCACACCTTGGGCCCAAAAACAATGGAACCAAGTGACATGGACTGAAACCTCTGAAACTGTGAGCCAAAATAAATCTTTCCTCCTTTTAAGCTGTTTTTCTCACATCAAAGCTGATGTCCAAAACCTGTGACCTGCCAGCATCCACACTTAAGGGCCAATAACCGCTGCTTGAGCTTGGAAAAGACAGGAAGCAACTGCACAGCCTTGAAGAGCTGAAGGCCTGCAGGCAGGTACAAGGCTGAAAACCAGCAGCATCAGGCTTCCATAGGGCAGGCACTGTGATGAAAAATACTAGGGCAGGGGAGGCCCTGGAAAGAGTGAGGATAAAGAGAGAAAAGAGACCCTCCCTATTGCAAGTGAAAGCCCAGCCAGCTGTCTGCCAAAGCAACAGGGAGACAAATCAGTGGGAGGACACTTAATTCCCTAATAGATGTTTTAAGTACATTTGTAAACGGCCTCTTGTTTGTGAAGGGTCTGGAACAGGACCAAAACCCACAAAGTCACCAGATCTCAAAGCAGGGGAATTCCACACAAATGCGAAAGCCTTATTCAAACACAAAAGTGCTCTCCTTGAAAAACAGTTCTAATTACTTTTTAAGACAGCTTTTCAAAATATTGTTTTAATCTCATACTGTTGATCTAAAATTAGTAATAGCTACCCTAACAGATTTTTAACAATGAACACTTTAAAAACTATACTGGAGGGTTCAACTGTTTCTTTAATGAGCTTCTAAATATAGCTATGGTAGATGAGCAGGACAGGACACCCTCTGAAGAACGGTCAGGTGTCCTGACCTCTGCTCTCAGGTGAGCCTCCCAACAATGTGTCACCTAAGGCAGGAGTGCTGCTTGGATGGCAGGTGAATGGGTACAAGTGTGTATGTGTTGACACAGAACAGCTGATCAAATAAGCAGGTCATACATCAGTTCACACACGTGATGCCCTGCTTTTTTAGAAGTAAACAGGGGCTGGAGATGTAGCTCAGTGGTAGAGCACCTACCTAGTATGCACACGGCCCTGAGTTTGATCCCCAGTATTACAGAAATGAAATACAATACAACAAAAGCCGCATTAACATAGGGTCAACATCGCACCGACTGACTGCAGGACAGCAGTGATTGTATGCTCATCATCCCTTCACTGCCTTGAGTAGAGAACAGTAAAGCAGTCCCTCTTATCTGTGGTTTTAGTTACCAAGGTCTGAAATATTACATAGAAGATTCCAGAAATAAATAATTCATGTGTTTCAAATAGCTTTTATACGGAATATTGTTAGCTTTTCTATTTAGTAGTTATTAGTTATTGCTGTTAGTCTCCCGCTGTACCTAACATAAATTCAGTTTTATCCCAGGCATGGATATACAGGGAAAGACAAAGTACTGATAGGCTTCAGTACTATCAAAGGTTTCAGGAATCCATTAAGGGTCTTAGACTCTTATCCTGAGTATAAAAGGGGTGGGGACAACTGTTACCACATTAGACATAAACACAGATTCTAGAATCTTTTAGACACAAAGAAAATATGTGCCATAGTCCAAACAATTAGGCCTGCTGTGCTTTCTCTGGATAGTTATTATTGATGGTTTTTTTAAAAAGACATTTTATTTAGCCAGGCGCTGGTGGCTCACACCTGTAATCCTGACTACTCAGGAGACAGAAATCAGGAGGATTGCAGTTCCAAACCAGTCCAGGCAAATAGTTCATGGCACCCTACCTCAAAAAAACCCATCACAAAAAAGGGCTGGTGTAGTGGCTCAAGGTATAGGCCGTGAGTTCAAACCCAAGTACTGCAAAAAAAAAAAAAAAAAATTATTTGTCAAAAATCCTTCATTTTGCTGGGTGCTGGTGGCTCACACCTGTAATCCTAGCTACTTGGAGGCTGAGATTAGGAGGATCACAGTTTGAGGCCAGCTCGACCAACTAGTTCAAGAGACACCATCTCCAAAATAACCAGAGCAAAATGGACTGGAAGCAGAGTGTGCAAGCACAAAGCCCTTAATTCAAACCCCAGGACCAAAAAAAAAAGTCCCTCATTTTCCTCCAACTTTCATAATTTCCTAACCTTCACAATCGACACTTGGCAGCAATTCGTTTCTCAGACCAATGTGCAGATCATTAAAAACTAACCTGCATGCAACAGTATGGAATTCCATCCTCGCCCATGATTCATGCCTGGTCAGTAGCCACCCACTTCTTCCAGTTCCTGTCCACTAGGTCACTTCTCAACAGAATCCAACCTGAAACAGTCTAACTAACTGAAATCTCTTATTTCAGAAATGAGAAAAATGGGAGACTGACCACAAAGTTCAGCTTCCTAAGTTTTACCTATCCTCATTTTGTTGCAACCTAAGGGAAAGGGGAGGAAAGCAAAGGGCTTGTCAGGACCACTGGACAGTCTAGTCAGGGGCCCTTTGGTTTCACTTTCAAGCGCCATCACTATAAATTAAACACCATGGAATCTAGCATGGGGTCAGAAACTACACTGCTCACCTTGGAATCAGCTGTGTCTTCGGATCAAAAGCAATGGAAGGCCCACAGCCCAGAGAAGGCAAATGAAAATGAGAAGAGGCAGCAGCAAGTCAGGAAGAAAAAGAAGTGCTGGCCTGGAGGCACGGCAGAGCTGGTTCTGTGCTGGCTGGCCCATGGGGTCACTTAGAACTTTGAGGTCCCATTTCTTACTATTAAAATCTCAGGGGTTTAGAGATTTCTGGAAGCCAAAGCCACCCATACTATTTGAGGCCAACCCATCATGACCACTGATATATTATGATAAATATTTTGGGTTTTACCATAGTTACTGGCTTATAAATCCCTTCCAAAACAGGTCTTTAGGAGACAGAATGACACTTCCCTAAGTCAGGTCATGGAAACTCTAACCTTCCCCTGCCTTTTTGTTTCAGAGTCGGCTATAAAGAAATTCTCTGAGCTACCCTTGTCTGATAGGTCCTAAGACCCTTCTTGTTCCAGAGGAGCTCTGCCCCATACTCTGGAGGAAGGAATATTGCCCAGAGAAGCCAAGACAGGCCTTGCTGGGTTTCTGCAGTCAGGCTAGTAGCAATCAAGTCTCCATAAAACCCTAAAGGGTGGGCTGGGAGCTTCTGAACAGCTGAGCGCTGGAGGCACCCAAGAACTCATCCACCAGCAGGGAGAAGACACACCCTAGCTCCACAGGTACAGGAGCTCCCTGCCCTGTGTATCTCTTCACAGGCCACTTCTTTGTATCCTTTAAAATGTCCTTTGTTATATATCAGTAAACACAGCTAAGGGTGTCCCTGAACTCTGAGCCTCTAGCAAATTAACTGAACCCGAGGAGGGGATAGTGGGAACCCCAATTTGTACCCACCAGGCAGAAGCTCCAAAGACCCAGACTTGAGACTGGGTCTGAAGTGGGGGCCGTATGGAGGACAGAGCCCTCAGGCCATGGGTCCTGACATGCTGTCCAGGTAGACAGCATCAGAACTGAAAGGGATTGGAGGATGCTTGGCTGACATCCACTATACAGCTGAATGCCTGCTTGCTGCTGACGAGGAGCCCCACACATTTTGAGTCACAAAAGTCTTCTGAAGCCGGCTGCTGGTAATTCGTGACTGTTATCCTAGCTACTCAGGAGACAGAGATCAGGAGGATGGCGGTTCAAAGGCAGCCTGGGCAAATAGTTTGTGAGACCCTGTCTCCAAAAAACCCTTCACAAAAATAGGGCTGGTGGAGTGGCTCAAGGTGAAGGCCCTGAATTCAAGCCCCAGTACCACAAAAAAAAAAAAAAAATTTCTGAGTTGGTTGTGGGGTAAGAACAGAGGGAAAAATAAGCACTTTGTTCTTCCTGACTAACAGAACCACAGTTATCGTCTCGAAACTCTACAAATACTAGCATTTACAACTAAATCTTTTGATGGTTCTAAGGAAGCGCTGCCATTTCTTTTGGATCCATGTTTATGCTGTTTTGTGGCGCCAGATTAACAGCCTGTGCAGACAGTGTGGCAAATCCCACTTCTCCCAGGCAAGGCTTCAGAGCCCAGCCTCACTGCTAACTGGGATTCACAGGTCTCATTCCCAGGAAAGCACTAACAACTGGTAACACACGATAACTTACATGATCAATGCCTCCCATTCAAAAAAATTCTCTTCATTCATGGGGCCTGCAGGGAAAGAAAAAGTACCACAATGGCTTAACTTTGAAGGCAACTTTGGCAGTTAGAAGAAAATCATAAAAGTCACCTGAGTCCCTTACCTGCCACGATTCCTTCGGGAGGATTCAGGGTTAATTCTATAAAGGAGAAAACATAACTGTTATCACACATAAAGAGTACTATTCTAATAAACACTTTACAAAATACACAAGCTATAAATTATGGAGTACACATCTTAAAAGAGGACAATTCTGTTTGCCCAAAATGAATGCCTAGTCCAGATACGATAGTGAAAGAGATATGTGAGCAGTTCTTTACACCAACACACAGCCTTTCGGCCTTTCATCTAACAAAAGAAAAAAACGAACCAAAGGGGCTAGCTGTCCTTCCCAGACTCCTGCCAGTTACTCTGATTAAAGCTCACAGATCTCAAATAGTATATTATTTTCCAACTAAATGATGTTTCTCTCATTTTAAGAATGGGAGCCAGACACCACTGGGTCACAAATGAAATCCTAGCTACTCAGGAGGCAGAGATCAGGAGGCTCAGGGTTTGAAGCAGCCCAGGCAAACAGTTTACAAGACCCCATCTCAAAAAACCCCTTCACAAAAAAGGGCTGGTGGAATGGCTCACACACTGAAAGCACCTGCCTAGTAAGTATGAGACTGTGAGTTCAAAACCCATGCTACCAAAGAATAATAGTAATAAAAAAAAAGGTTGGCACAATCTTTCTGCATATGACAAAGAAGAACTATGAACCAGAGTTGCCTAGCTGGGCCACTGTGAAACTGCCACAAAGTAGCATTTCAACACTTGGTCTCAACTGAGTTTCTTATCTGTGTGATGGTTTGGATATGGAGAGGGTCCACTAAGGACCTGAGTGTTGGAAGCAGTGAGGCAGTACTGTGAGATGGTGGAACTCTTAAGAGATGGAGCCTATCCAGCGGGAGGTCCTAGGTCATTAGGAGGAAGAGATAGTGTATGACACCTTGGAAGTTAGCGGGAGAGAACTGTTATGTACAAGGCAAGCCTGCCCCTCCTTTCTCTGGCTTTCTGTTCCAGGTGAAATTACCTCCTTAGGCGTGACCTCCAGTAGCAGCTGCTCCATCTGCCAGGATGTGTCACCACCTACTGCCATCAGCAGAGGCCACATGATTTTGCACTTTTAACCTCCAAAACTGTGAGATCTCTAAGCGTCTTTCCTTTATAAAGTTAGTCATCTCAAAGATTTTGTTATGGTAGTGGCAAACAGACTCCAAAATGAAACCAAACCTGTGACACACTTGGAAAAACGAGTAGAAGGAAATGACAAGAGTCATGGCAGGTAGGGTTCCAACACAGTAAGAAAATCAGAAAATCAGGTAAGAGATGCATTCCCTGTTTGGATAGAGTGCTGGGGAAATCAATCTTTTGTGTGTACAAGCATACAAAAGATCAACTAAACCAAAAGGGATTTTCAAAAGACAAAAAATTTTTAACAAACCTCTGTCAAATAAAAATGGAAAAATAAACCTGATTTCACAGATGTTATGCTTATACAATACACAGAAAGTCCAAAGGTTACCTAAAGATAACTGGAAAAAGTGAGCTTGGCAAAGTTTATGAATGAGGTCAATATATACATAGCCAAATTATATTTCTATATGCTTCCAAGTTTGAAAATGAAAGCCTTAGTCAATGGAAAACTTATTTCCATTAAGTTTTTTAAAGATACTACAGAATAGATAATATTACTGACAAGAAGTTTACAAAGACCTTAATAAAGGGGTAATATCATGATCACGGATTAAAAACTGAACATTATAAAAATACCAAGTTCCTCAAACTGAATCTGTAGATTCAATACAACTTCAGTCAAGATCCATCAGGGTTGCTTGTTTGAATTTGACAAGATGATTCTGAAAGGTATATAAAAATGCAAATGACCAAGAATAAAGAGGTGGTTATCAAGACTTCACAGAAAATTTTAAGTAATTAAGGCAGCATGGTACTAGACCAAGTAAACAGACCAAGGCAGCAGAAAGAAGAGAGGCCACCCAGGAGCAAGCCCATTCCAGGAGAGACCCTGGATGATTGTGAAGGCAGCAATACAGAACAGAGGGGAGGGTGAGGGCCAATCACTCCTCTTGATGCAATAGAGACATGGTAAATCGAAGTGGGTAGGCTGCTGCTAGGTAATCGGACAGACTGTGTACACTCAACATTTTCCTTATAAGTAAAGGAGCAAACTTTAAAACACTGGCAGTAAGTATAAGAAACACATAAACCCACCCACGCACAGGAAATCAATGTGAGTCAATGCCCTGTATAGCTATCCTTATCTCAACCAGCAAAAACCCTTGTTCCTTCCTATTATTGCTTATACTCTCTCTACAACAAAATTAGAGATAAGGGCAAAATAGTTTCTGCTGGGTATTGGGGGGGAGAGGAGGGAAGGGGCGGAGTGGGTGGTGAGGGAGGGGGTGGGGGCAGGGGGGAGAAATGAACCAAGCTTTGTATGCACATATGAATAAAAAAAAAAAAAAAAAAAAGAAACACATAAACCAGTAAGCACAGTTGTTTATCATTACATACAATGTCCTATATCCATCACTGTATGAGCTATACTTTGCTGTGACTGACAGTGCAGGTGGTGTTTTTATACCAACATCCCTTAACAGGAGAGTACTGTGTTATACTCACTCACAATGACAATGACTTAACATCTCTAGGCCAAAGGAGTTTTTCGGCTCCATCATTACCTTTGGATACTGAGTCTGATGAGAGGTCAATATACAGCACACGACTGACTATTATAAAGGAGCAGCAACAGACATGAATCCGCTCAGACTGCCAAAAAAAGGCATGGATGGTGTTGGTCTGAACATTTGTGCCCCCCACCCCCATTCATACAAAGAAATCCAAACCCCTCAGTGGGGTGGAACTAGGAGGTGGGGCCTTTGGGAAGTGGTTAGGTCATGAGGGCGAGCCCTCCTGGATGCATTAGTGTCTTTCAGAGAAGGAACACAAGAGGCTTGGTGGAGCAAATGTCTAGCAAGCATGAGGCCCTGTGCTCAATCCCCTGTACCAGGAAGAAAAAAGTAAGAGGATCAAGGGAAGAGAGATGGTGTCTCTGAAGGCCTTGGGAGGGAGGTGACCATATGCACATGAGGAAGAGGTCTTTGCCAGAAGCCTCACCAGAGCCTTGATCTCAAGCAGCCCAGACTCCAGAGCCCCAAGAGTAAATGCTCTGCTCAAGTTCCCGGGGCTATGGCAGTGTTGTTACAGAGGCCAGAACTAAGACAGCACATAAGCACATAAAAAGGCGCTCAAGGTTTTGAATCATAGGGACATGCAAATGAAAACCACAATAAGATAGTCACAAGAGAATGGGCAAAATAAAAGCACTGGACACCAACTGCAGACAAATTCAACAACTGGATCTCTGCTGCATCAGCGGTGAAGTGCAAGTAGTTATCCCTCAGTGAGCAGCCTGCCTCTGGTAAAGCTAAACATGCTTATCCTGACACCTGTCATGCTGTTAGGCCATCGTCCCCACAGACTCACAGGTGAGCGCTCACAGTACTGTGAGTAGTAACACAGTACTACTCAGTTATGAAAATGAACAAACTGCCGACACCTGTAGCTCACACTTGTCAACTCTCAGAAGGCAGAGATCAGGAGGATCACGGTTAAAAGTGAGCCCCAGGAAATAGTTTAAGAGACCCTATCATGAAAATACGCAACACAAGAAAAGGGCTCATGGAGCGGCTCGAGTGGTAGAGCACCTGGCAAGCGTGAGGTGAAACCTTCCCTGCACCCTCCTCTACATCAGTTCTAGTTCGTGCTAACACCATTTTAAAAGCTGTACTGCAACAATCTGGGCAGGTGACCACAGCGAAATCTGGGATCCAAGCAGCAGGTGGGCTTGCTGAGAAGGCGCATAGCCAGTGAGGAGTGAGCACGGTCCTAGGCTTTCTTTGTACCACAGAGGCAATGGTGAAGCAACACTAGGATAGAAAGGAAAAGTTCAGGGGACCAGGAGATCTAATTTAAACACTTAAGATTGACATGCCCAGTAAGTAGGCAAGCAGAAATGACAGGCTGGTGGCTGGGAAACTCAAGGGAAGACTGAGCCTGGAGATGTAAATTGGGAGTTACTTTACAGAGAACACACGTGACTCCTGGCACTGGACAGGAGCCTCTGGAACTGTGTTCTCAGGAACATCAGGACACATGCGATAACATCTTGGATTTCACAATGATTGGGGAATGTTCCTGCAATTTGGTAGGAAGAGGGCAGGAATGCCAATGCCCTGCCATAAACAAGCCTACTCAGAAAAAAATTATTTCACTCAAAATGCCAACAGCACCTCCTGAAAAACCCTGATCCAAGGAGCAAAGGTTGGAAGACTGCCAAGTGCCGTCACTGAGGATGCAGTGGGAAGATGAGAGACATTAAGGAGAGGCCACTGAATAAGGGTGAACAAGAGCATTGGCCCCAAAGTCAAATACATTAAATATTCCAAGGAGGGAAAAAGCAAACATGAGTGAGGACAAGTACCAGGAAGGCTACCACCCTTGGATTTGGCAAGACACACCTTGACAGTTTCACTTTGTATCTCTTCACAGAAGTGGGTTGGGAGAAGTAACACCGAAACCAACTTATCATGCTTCACAAACCCAATCATCTCAAATCTAGTCCAGCTGTTGCAAGTAAAATTGATCACCCAATTTTAATAAAAAGGTAACAGATTAAGGCAGATGGATGGTAAACTGCTGAGATGTGAATGGGAAAGAGAAAGCACAATGCTGGCAGGAAGCAAAGTAGGGTGCCAAGATCAAAATATAACAGAGTCCTACCAACCATTTTTGTGGCCAAAGAAGGAATTTATACCAAAAACAGTCCGCTTTATTTTTTGTTGGAGTTCCCTTCTGGAACTTCCCTGTAACACCCTCCCTCAGGGAGAGGGAAGGGGTGGTCTAAAATCTGCAGCTCCACACCCACAATTCTAGAGACCCAAGCTGTGTTCAGCAGAGAACTGTCCCACCAGCCTCATTATTCAATAGTGACATCTACTGGTCCAAGAGGAACTACAGTCAAAGAGGGCTTAGGAAAAGGGGAAAAAACGCTTTGTTTTGTTGTTTGTTTTCAAC